ATTAGAACATCGCGCAATTAATCTTGCGCACCGAGAGCATACACACGAGCTCGTGGCTAATCGGCGACACTTTCACACGGCGCCATAGAAACGTCGCTGACCTCTCTCCGTCTGTACTGGCTCTCTTTCACATCGCGTGCGGCCACGAGAGCCAGCGCCAAAACTTTGTTGGTTAAAACTTTGGCGAGCTTTTGAACGACTCCAACCACATGAACGTTTACTGATTCTTCAATTATATGAAAAAAGAGAATGGTATTTTCGCGAAAATTGATCTCACGCTATAAACTTACATACATTATGCGTTTTTTTTTGCAAGAAAATAATTTAGATAAGATATGCGTTGTTGGCAGTGGAGGTCAGCTACGTATACAACACAAACTTAGCAATTACAAATATTAGGTCACGCGATACCCATTTTCACCATGCATATAAGCTAAGGGAGAGTATATGAACCGATGAAATTTCTATTTCTTACTTGATAATTGTTCCGTTTGAAACTTTTTATTCTTTCTTTTTGCAGGAAAAACGTTTAAAATGCTCGTAAAAATGCACTCGAACAGTAATTTATCTCACGATCAGCGCATTGCTTCGCATTCGCATAGCTACACACGTGCATGAGTATTCGTAGAATTTCATTAACATTTTTCCAACATACAATCTAGATTTCGCTTTTCCACGAATAACTCGTCGATCTAGCATGTCAATGCAGCGGGCGGCATTGTAAATCAAAGCGTCGCGTGAAAATTGCGGTTGTCCTCGATTTCGATTTTACTACGTACTAAGCCGAGAGGAGGAGAGAGAGAGAGAGAAAGAATTGCGCGTGTCGTAGCAGCTCGACTCTAATAATTCGAGAGCTCATTAGCCGATTTAATGCTGTGGTAAAAGTGTCGAGGTTGTGTAAGACAGAGCCTCTGATGTAAACTACCGCCACACCGACTATGCGAAGAAATTGTAGTGTTATATGAATTATATAAATACGTATATGCGCGTGTGTAGTTTAATAACCAGCTCAGCTTGTGTATATCTTGCTATATATTACGAAATATACAAATAATGGAAGCTGAATTGAATTGGAATGTGAGCTCGCGACTTTCTCGAGTAATGATGTTGATTCGTGGAAAATTCGCACGACGCGAGACTTTCGTCAAATTACCATTGTTACGCGCACGTTTCATTTTTAGAATCAAACGTCGATGCCTTTTTGTACACTCGCGCGACATCAATCAGGACTCTGTTTTCTACTATTATTAGACGCTCACTCACTCTCTCACTCCGACTTTGCACCAAGGACAGCACAAAAAAATATCCGCTTTTGTACAATGACAAATATTTTCCTGGTAAAAACAACAGCTAAACTCATTGTGTTTACAATTTTGGAGAGACGTTAACGAGATTGCATCACAGCGCGCGAGATGCGCTATTAATAAACCATATAACTCGGAGAAGCTCACGGAATGATTCATTGCTCGTCAATGCTGTAATTGAATTTTTAATCAAAACTTTTTAAGGACTAGCACACATACGTATCTAGCATTTGACTCATCACTTATTCCGACGAGTGACTCAAGTTCGTCACGTACATCCGCCGCTGCAAGATCGTTGAAGATCAACATATTTTTCGAAATCGTTTATGCAACTCGCTCTTTGCGAGCTTCACGCGCGAATTCTGCTACATTGCTTTTAATGACGTGAGAATCAAACGCATAAGAACCACTTGCTTACAAAGAATTGGTTATTCTACATTGCTACATTGCTACGCCGTACAGGTACCTGCACGGCGTGGAAATATGTGTACACAATAATGATAATGGTTTTATTTACCTGTGAACACGACCGAAGCTCTGTTTGCATCAGAGCTACGAAATTAAACACCAAGCTGTATAATAATGCAGTTTTGATGTTTGTTATTTATTTGTGTACTACCGAGATGAAGAAAGAATAAACACAATTTGTTCTCTATCAGGCGTAATGACAATGGCACTTATCAAAACCTACTAACGGCTTTTCTGATAAACCACGTGATGAAACCGAGGACGAAACCAAACAAAACATGATCAAAAAATCGCAAAAGCGAAACGTTTTACTTTTCGCATAGGGCCCTCGTTCTGACATTCCTTTTATCATTATATTTTTTATTGATGAAACATGTATTTGTTCAATGTTATTTCATTTTCTCAGGATTTATTTTTTTACTTGTTGGAATGCATGTTGAATTTCGATAAATTATAATTTATTATGTATACAATGTTAAGGTAAAATTTGCATATATACAATCAATTTTGTATAATAACGTTTTTTTCATTCATTGTACATGTAAAAATCTCAAAGAGAAATGTTAAAATAATAATATTGAAGTAAAATTTAGGGTATCGATATATTTTTAATTATATTATAACTAATTTTCATATCAAGAAACATTATAGGCTATAGAATAATAAAAAAAATGATATGTCAATTAATCATTAAATGTAGTTTGTCGAGTATTGGTGTGTTCCATGCACTGTTGTTGATTTTGTACTATTCATGAATTAAATTAATATCATCAAACTATCAATTGCACCGTTTGATAGAAATAAATCTGATTCACGATAGTACTTATTTTATCTGAAAATTTTTTATAAATAATATATTAAATCATTGTAGATTATGTTTTTTTTGTAATTAGTACTTTGAATTGATTATTGAAATCGTTGATCATTCCATAACTTATACTATAATATTAAGAATAGTCATTGTTAATTATTTATGAAAGTTCAATTTCATTTTATGTTTCATTATCGTATTACGAGTAAATGTGGAATATGTTACTGCTGATAATACACCATTCAATTCAAATAAAATAGACTAAACTACTCCTGACATTGTTACATTACTGTTTATATGTTTACATTGGACTGATTCATTATTTTCATGTTTTGACATAATAAATTTGAATATTTTTCATTGTTTGTTCTGCCATTCTTGGAAAAAATATTTTTTATACAATAATTAAAAAATAAATATAAGCTTGCATATATTTTGACGATCAGATTTGATTTTTTATTATATTTTTGACTGTTTTTTTTTCCTTATATTGTAATGGTGTGAAAATGGTATGTAATACATCTAAATATTATACGGTAACAAATCTAAACAATTCATAACTCAATAGTTACTATAGTCTAACTTACTATAATAAAGATAATATGTAAATTTTTATTTTACAGTATTTATCTTTAACTATTATATCCTATACTTTTATGTTTTGTTTTTTTCCAATCCCACAAATAGAAAGAGCTTCCCTTTTTTTTCGGTGATCGACATTTATTGAGGTATATTTGCCATTTGATTATAAACATTAAATTAGAAATTAAGGAGGTTTTAGTTAAATATTGTTATCATTTATAATGACTGTACAAAATATTAATATAAATAATAATAATGGTAGCAGCTTAGAAATTATTTTTCAAATTTACTTGAAAAAAAATAGTAGTATAAATAATAATAACGATAGTAGCTCTCAAATTATTTCTTAAATTTACTTGAAAAAATTCCCTTACATTTTAATTTAATGGATCAACTATCCTCACATTCTATATGATGAAACAAATATACTTTCTTTACCACTGAATTGATATGAATTAATAAAATTATAAGTACATTCTGATTACTTTTTGTAATTAGAACCTTGAGAATATGGAAAATTTCTCAAATTAATATGCAGTCAAAGATTTTAATATGAAAATAATTTTAAACATGAGTTATTATGATTTGCCATTTGATTATAAACATTAAAACATTAATTAAGAAATTAAGTGAGTTTTAGTTAAATATTGTTATCATTTATAATGACCGTACAAAATAGTAGTATAAATAATAAAAAATGGTAGCAACTTACAAATTATTTTTCAAATTTACTTGAAAAAAAAATAGTAGTATAATTAATAATAACGATAGCAGCTCACAATTGATTTTTTAAATTTACTTGAAAAATTCCCTTTTATTTAATGGATCAACTATCCTCACATTCTATATGATGAAACAATATACTTTCTTTACCATTGAATTGATATGAACTAATAAAATTATAAGTACAATCAGATTACTTTTTGTTATTAGTACCTTGAGAATATGGACAATTTCTCATACTAATATGCAGTCAATGATTTAATATGAAAAAAAAATGAGTTATTTGCCATGTTTGCGATGAACATTATTTATTTGATACTATTAATATTTTTCAAAACTACTTGTTTTTTGTATTAATTAGAATCATAGTAATATACAATTTTTCAAAGTAATATGAAGTGATATGAATTGATGGAATATCCGTAGTTTGAATTTTTTATTTCCAATCATATGGACTCTTTTTGTGAAATAATATTAAGAATTAATGTGCTAATTCAATAATATGATTTTATATATACAATAAAATTCTGAATTTATGTATATATAAAATGGAATACAGTTGAAAGCTTAAAATGTAAGAAATATATAAAGTTATGATAATCTAGATATATAAAACCAAGATATTGTCCAGTAGAGTAGCAAATTTAGTGAAATTGGGGTAGTCTGTACGGACGGAACATATTTCCAGGATGGCTGGATACGTATACCCTGTGGGAAAAGTCTTGGTTTAACAAGTCAAACTGAATTCCTAATTATACGGAACCACTTTTCTGAGATCAAATTCAATAGGCCCTCTCTATATGACTGGGCAGTGAACGAGGGCCCAAAAAGGAGCCGACGCAGCACGAGACACGGCAAAGTCTGATGTATCTATCCACTTTTCAAAGTGTTTAGCCGCCTCTATCTATTTATCTCTCTCTCTCTCTCGGTTCGAAAAAAAAACAGATCACCACGCTATATACGAAAACTGGCTGTGCCGGAATTCTCGGCATTCCACACACGGAACCCCCACGAGAAAAGGACGACTTGCCGCGGCTAGAGGAGCGGCAGCAAAGGATGAAGCGAGAATAAAGCCAGAACATGACCGTAGAATACACGTAGAGAAGACTAACCAGAACTTTGGTGAAACGGCGTTCGAGTTCCTGGGTGTCGGGCATTGGTTGCCTCGGAGCGCCACGAACGCTACCCTGCCTCGCATGATGTTGCGGCGACGAGTGCAGATGATGGGGCTTCTTGATGCTGCCCCCGGTGGAGATGGATGCGACGACTTCACGATGTAAATGCTGCTGCTGATACTCGCCGCCACCACCACCGCCATCGTCCGCCGGCCGGCTACTCACTAGACCCATCTCTTGCTCTCGTCTTCTTGGACACACTTAACAAACAACTACAGCACGCACTCCTACGCACAAGAATGGAACCAACTAATCGTCGAACATGTCGCGAATTATATGGGTAGTAGCAGCAGCAATCGTGGCAGCAGCAACAGCAACAGGTATTATTATCAAGGGGCCCATAGTGGTCGCCAGCAGCGACTCACGCAGACACACACACCGCAGGGCAACAATCGCGCGCACGTTCTCGCGTCCTTATACGACGTACGCTACTCGCTGGTCGTCGTCGTCGAACGCGAGCGATGCTCTCGCGCGCGGAGATGCGAGCGGACTGCTTTGCAGCTCTGTCGCGCCAGGCAGCGACGCGAGCCCACTCACGCACAAACTCACACAACACACGCTACGCTCGCGTACAGCACACCATGGACGAATAAAGTGGGGATTTCCACGCGGGGAAAAGGGTGATGCGCTCCCTCGAGTATACGGTGAGTTGCTTTCGTTGTGGCGGCCGGTTTTACGTGTGCCTGCGCGCATGTGTGTGTGTGTGTGTGTGTCGCGGCGCGGTGCATTAAATGTTTTGTATAATGCATGCGCGAGACTGAGTGAGTTTTGTAATGGTGTGTGTATGTATGCGTGTGAGGGAGGCGCTCGCGTCGTCGTCGTGGCCGCCGCCGGCGAGTTAGAAATATGGCCGGGCACCAAGGGATTAACATTGCTGCTTTTTTTTTGAGGGGGTCATTTGCCAGTTCACCTGCAATTTCAGATGATTTCCAAAGGCTTATGTAGCTGGCTATTTAATTTTTAAATTCTTTCGAAGTTTTTACATTTTCGGAGCAGCTGATCGCGGCTACGAGCATTCAATTTGTAATTACTTTTGGTGGAGATAGTATTCAAAAATATTATTCACGTTTGCAAACTTTTTCACATTTTAAAAGCATAAAAACTTTGTTTACTAGCAATTAAGTCGGTCAAGACTATCAACAACAAAAAAGACATGAAAGAATAAACAACATGCAATATGGAAAATCCATTTAACAAATGAAATTAGACATGTGGGTGGATTTTTCTTGAAAATTAATGTAAATTATTTTGTAAGTACTGCTTAAAAGCCGAAATAAATTATCTTCACGAAATAAACTGTTGATCACATTCTTGTTGCATTATGCATTCTGACTGACGATAATTCTTGCTCCAAAAGAAAATTTTTGGAGTAAAACGTCAAGGAACATCGAAACATTAGGGTTAATTTGTAAAGTAAATAAAAATTCAACCGTATAAAACAGAAATTGGCTTTTCCAACGCAGTAAAATACATTTCCACCAAAAGTTTCAACAATCCGACGTATAGCGTCGCACCGATCAGCGTGAAAAGAAGAAAGCTGCAGAACGGCCGTGCATTCTATAGGCACACGTGTGCGTGTTTACGTGTGCGTATTTACTCACGAAAAAGACTGCAGGCAGTTTGATCGTACATCGCTAAAAGGTATAGAAGAAAATCGCCACTCTCCGTAAGGGACTACAGTGGAGAGAGCGGTTTATAACCTTCAACTCGCGCGGCTTTACAGCAGTAGTTGTCTCGCTCGGCCGCCGCTGCTGCTTGACCTGTCAAAAAGCGCCATCAGCTGCTCCGTCTTCTTGTTACACTTGCACCGGCAACCCTGTATATATATTTCGCGCAGCCGGCGGAAAGTATATATCTGAAGAAAAATAGACTCGACAAGCTGCTCTGATTGGTCGATACTCATCAGAAAATCTGCCAAGAGAAAGTTAGCGCCGGTGTCTGCTCCGCTGCGCTGTGTCTGTCCATCTGTGCAATCGTCTGCTGCTGCTGCTACTGCTAGTCTGCTCTCTCTGTCTCTTCTACTGTGTTCGGCAGCCTTCTGCGTCCAGCCTCCAACATTTCTCTTGTATTCTCTGTAAGGAATTCGCTCAGGTATGTGCGCTAAATGTCATATTTTCTGTGCCCGTGCTATAGTAATGCAAAAATAGTGTACTCGCGGTCGTCAAAGGAACCATTACTCTATTTACTCGAGCGCTGATAAGCTTCTGCTTTTTTCAACTAATAGAGGTAGCAGTGTTTGCTCAGCTATTAGACGTTTCCAATGCTTTCTGTAGTTGTCGGTGCGTTTTCAAATTTGCGCATTATTACGCTTGAGTGTAATATTTGATAAAGCTCTGTTATACGCGATAACTACATTATCCACAATTATTTATAATCGAACCCATTCGCAATAGTTTTTCATTTTTATTTCGAATAGCACACATCGCAATTTTTCCTTATTTTTTATGTAACCAGCGCGAGTGTCCGCTCCATTTACGCTTTACCTGCGAAGTAAAAAGAAGGAAAGAACATGGCTCGATTAATTAGCATATTCTCGGATGAATAAGACAGCCGCGCTGACTGTCGCAACGCAGGAAATATCTCTTTCTGCAATATTTTTTTTCGAACTACGGTTCGCTGTCCTCTCTCTCTTTCTCTCTCTTTCTCGCTCTCTCTCTCTCTCTCTCTCTCTCTCTCTCTCTCTCTCTCGTCGATCGCGCAAGTAACATATATCTGGTCGTCGATGTACAAAGCATTTTCCCAGAGGTCACTAGCCTCTCTCCTTCTCGCTTGTACTCTACTCTAACTCTTAGCATGTGTATGTGTGTATAATGCGCCCGCGAAGGCCGAGAGATCTTTTTTTTTGTATTACAACTCTCTTTGGGCGACTGCGTTGTTATCGTAGTTGCCTACATTCTCTTACACCGACAATATACAGCCTTGCGTCATTTTCGATTCTTACGTGGAGACGCCGATTATTCGTTTCTTTTCTCACGCGCCAGTCGACGTCTACCTTTTTTTTCGTGACATGTAACTTGCCACGATAAAAATGTGTCGGTATAACCTAATCCGAGAGTTAAGGAATAAAGCAGGCGGTGACCTAGCTATCGAGCTTTGAAAACTTTCCGTGTATGTGTGTGTATGTGTGTGTGCGCGTGTGTCAGGGCATGTACAAGTGCTGCTCCAACTTGCAACAGCTATGACGTTATCAACCGAGGATTGACTTCGAAGTGTATAATAAACTCTCCGTCGATAATACAGGATGCGCCTTAGCTGGAATATTTGGTATTTACCAACAATCCAACCTGGAATCACGTGTGCGTTCGACAATCTTACCGGTTGTTATTTTTTTGTTACTACGTCGATTTTGCGAATCTTTTGAAGATTTCGAAAAGAATAAACTGAACGGAGAGAGCTTTTTTCATGAGTTCTGTACTCGTGAGTTTGTCGTTATGATGCTTTGCCGTGTATTTCTGGATCGAGATTGAATATTGGAGTGGTCGCATCGTGATATTGATTTCTTTTCGCTACGGGATTGCGGTTTGTATTGGAAGCTAATAAACGAAGAAGTACAAGATCAACGCGACTGAATAATACTTGAAAAAGCAATATTGCTCTTCGATGGTTTCACTCCAGATTGCAATTCAGTCTTCACCGGTACGTACAGAAATAAACGACTTACAAACGTTTATAAATTTATGAAAAAGCTTTCGCAAGCTGCGTTCACCGCGAGACTGGAGTAGATAAGTACATACCGTCATGAAAAGCAGCGAAAAGTAATGTTGAATGCATCAAGCGTACACATATCTGTTTTCTTTCTCGTCGTTTGCGATAAATCGTTCGTCCACTCAATCTAATTCCATAATACTTCTTTTCAGCGTTTCAGTCGTGGCAGTCGCCATCAAGGTCCTAAATCATAGCAGATAAGAAGCGAACAAAGCCCGAGACGGAGGGGAATCTCTGTCGAGCGTCACAATTATCCGTTTGACACGAGTGACCCGGCAACGAATCCAAGGACGCGTAACTTCGCTCCCGCTCGAAGTCACGAGCACACGCGTGTGTGCGTGTCTGTGTGCGTGCGTGCGTGCGTGCGTGCGTGCGTGCGTGTGACCTCCGTGTCTCCGCCGTCGCTGCCGCTGCCGCCGCCGCCGCCGCCACGGCACAAGCACAAAAATAGCCAAGGCCCTCCGAGATGCGTCGACGTGATCTGCTGCTGCCCTGCGCGCGATAATTCGCCCAGACATGGCCGAGGACCAGGCTGATCCCGCGGGTGCAGCTGTCAAAGAGGAGCAGCCGCCAGCAACGGGTACCGCCTCCGCGACGACCAATGACACCCTGACGATTGCGGCGGTGGCCGACAACGAGCTGGCAGACGCGCGCCCGAAGGAGAAGTCGACTAGCCAAGAAGAAGACGACGAGGCTTTGAGCATCAAACTGGAATTGGACGAGTCGGAGGAGATCAGCAAGTCGACAGAGGTCAACAAGGACGACAACGAACAGCCGACAAAGCAGCTCGGCGACCAGACGGCACCAATCAAACATGACGAGGGAGATGATAAAGAGACTGGCGATAGCAAAATAGAGGAGGTTGAGCGGAAGAAGCTGGTCAAAGTTGACGTAGACGCTGGCACGTCGCAAGAAACTGACGACAAGCAAGATGCTCGGCAGAAAGCGGAGAGGAAGAGCGACGAGGATACGTCGGAGAAACAAGCCGAGCAAGCCTTACCTCCGGAAAAGATAACGGCGGAACCCGAACAGCCGGCCAACAAAATCGAGGAACTGGCGCCCGTCGTTATTAAATCCGAGGTCGCCGAGAAGGAAAAGCCGAGACCGAAGGAGGAAAACGCAGAGGTCGTGGGGATCGTGGGTCCGCCAACGGCAGCTTACGAGTTATTGAGCGAGGCCGAGCTGGGACCTACTTTACCATCCGTAGCGCCTAAGTTGGCCGATCGAGTTTCGCGATGGGTCGAGAACACTGCCGCCAAGGTTGATGAACCGGATGACATTGAAGAAGAGGCCGAGGACGACAACGAAGACGAGGAGGAGGAGGAGGAGGAGGAGGGAGAGGAGGAGGAGGAAGAGGAAGCCGTAGACGAGGCGAAAAAAACCAGAGGTCGAAAGAGGCGACACAGTGGCAACGGTACCAACGAGCCGCCAGTCGCCAGGAAAGCTCAGAAGGTCGTCAGCAACATCATACGGCGCAGCATTCGATGGTAAGTCGTAGCGCTTACCTACCAGTCGATTGTTGTTTCATTATTCGAGATCGTCTCGGAATGAGTCCAACTCCGAGAATTGTGTTTCTGCGAATGCTGGTACCGCTCGATGCGAAAGGCGGTCCCACATGTGACCGCGCGAGCACGCAATCAGTTCCCGGGGCGCGCGCGCCCGAGAAAAAAAAAACGGATACAGCAATGAGAAAATGCTGTCGAAATGAGTTCTCCGGCGAATGCCTCGTTCATTCGTCCGCCGGGGTCTCGCGAGCGAAGGCGCCGCGGCCGCTGCCGAGGGCTTTCGCTTGATTTTCACCCCCGCGGCTGCTTGCAAGCGATCCACCGAAGCTTCGCGAGCTCCTGGTAGAGAATCCGCGCGCAGCGCAACGGGGTCGAGGTGAGAGGCGCGCGAAAATACACGTAAGAGAGGTCGCGCGCTCGCCGCTGCCGCTGCTGCTGCACTTGCGGCCGGAGGACGTTCGCGGGCCAGCGTCGCGCGATAGGCAGCCCGGTGCGCGACGGACGCGCTCGGCACCAAGGCAATCGCAATCGCGAGCAGCGCGAGCGACAAGTAAAAATAATGCTTCGAACCCGATCGGCCTCTAGCTCAAGGGAACGCGCGCGGCTGGTATACGCACGCAACGGCGATGGCCTGGTTTCAGGCTAACAACACGATCGACGCGCTCTCGCGCGCCGCTCCGCTCGCCTTTTTATCTATAGCGATATCAAGGCGCCACTCGCGCTCTCTTCGCTGACCAAACGCACGTCCACTCGATAAGCATTCCCTTTTCTCTCACCTGCTCTCTCTCTCTCTCTCTCTCTCTCTTCTTTCCTTGTTCCATCACTGCACGCTGCAACAGTCATTTTCACCATGGCGCATTATGCTCCTAGCTTCGTTGTGCTTCATGTGCTGATTTATCGAGCGCATTTACTTGCTTAAAAGCAACGTTCAAACGATTCAAAGCGTTAGTTCACATTGCATATCTGCAAATCATTGCGTTCGACGTTTCGCAGTGCCCGAGTACGCCGCCGTAATTGGTATTTTGTTCGATTTCAATGTTGCAATAATATTTACTCACCTAGCAGTAATAGGTCAATAAATCAAAAGCAGACCACGCCAGTAATAAAAGATACAATAACGAATTTTCGGATTTTCTGTATAAATCAACTATCAAACAAATAGTTTTGCAAGAACAAAAAGGAAGCGGTCAGTGGTCGCGTTTCGCCTTGAAGTTGAGGAGTGTTGTCAAAATGGACGCGATAATCGTTACAGATCGAACATGTATGGTCCCTTATCTTCACAGGCGATTTAAAGTCAATGGTCCACTTTATTTGTCTCTTGGATATAATTAATATATTCTATGCCGCATTGCTGAAATTCCAGAATAATATGAAATATCATTTCTCGGAATTCTTCATTCATTGAAATTCATTCGCTCCCAAAGGAAGAATTTACACTACATTTTCCCGAGTTTCGAATCTGTTATTGCTCAACAATTACGCTCGCACCAATGACCACGGAGAGCACGTAAAATATAAAATTTTCAGTTAATAACAACAGATATATCGACGATTCATTGTTTCTGCCAGCGCCGGTCGGAAATGGCGTGATAACGATGTGAACTCAATTGTCAGTATAGGTGTCCGTAGCCGATCACAACCGAGTTCCTTTTACTCGAACCCGGTCAGAGTTTTAGTCTTCATTATTTCTCAAATTAACAATTTCAAAGTAACGATTGATCTCGCAATTTTCTTCGGTAATATCAATTTTGCTTTTTTACACAATTCATTTCGGCAACAGTGCGAAACTGTTTTTCAGCTTTGCTTTTTATCGGAGACACTGATAATGCATCTGTACACACATCTCTGCTTCATCGAAGTTATTGTGAACGCAATCTAAAACGACAGCGTATTTCTTCCGACTTTCATTATTTCCATACGGAAAAAACCATTTATTTTTCATTGCTTTTATAAACTTTAAATTTATAGTTTCATTCCACTTACTATTTTATCGACTTTTTCGTATCTGTCTGAGATAAACCAATCCGATTCGGTAAGTGTATAGACAACTACTATAGGTTTTATGATAAAAAAAATAACTGTACAAAGCACATTTTTAAGTACAAATTGCTAAACAATTTTCAACGATTAAATTAAAGTTGGAGTAGTTGATACTTGCTGCATAGTTCCTGTTCCCTTATTGAATAGAAAGCAGATTCAATTTAGCGAGCAAAGGATATTTTAAAAGCGTGTAATGTGTTAATTTTCTTGCCGACAGTCATCGTCGATAGCTTTCAATGTTGATATACTAGAGATTACATATATATATATATATATATACTTACCGTATATGCGAGCCGCTCGACAATTCCAAACTAGATTATTTGAATGGTCTCCTACAAGAGAAGTCACATTTGTTTATTTTTATGCAATATCACTTGAAATCTGGAGTAATTGGTATATAGCAATAGAGGACGATAAAATATACTCGTGGCTGATCATTTGCAGCCGTCTGGGGCGATGGCGAAAAGGCCGTACGAGGGAAAAATGATTTTCTCTCCCCCAGTATCGGTCGATATATATCGCGATACAACGTGCACGAAGCCAGATTTAGCGGATGCGCTTTATGCGATCGTGACACAAATCAAGAGATAAATTTTATATAGAATGCCATTATTGACACTGCTAAATAATGCAACATGTAAATTGCATACGGATGAGCTTTTTTTAATAAGACAGCAGGCTTGTTTACTCGAGAAACGTCAGACTTTGGAAACGCGTCAACAGCCAATGGAACTAGCCCGAAATACGATTCCCGAACGAGCATTACGAAGTTTGCAGCATACATTTTTATGTTTCATTTGCTTGTGCAAAAAAAGTGGCGGTCAATTAACCTCCCGCCAAATTATCGTCGTTACGTTTATTTTTATTTTACGATAAACTAGTGAAAAAGATTTGCTCCGGTTCTGTTTGATCATCATAACCACTGGCAAAAGCTGGTCGAGTTATTTTCGTAATTTCCGTTACATTTTATTCGCTCTCATCGTATTGATTATTCTCGTATGGAAGGGTCATCGGGTTTCTTATTTTCAGAAGACTACATCTTGAGTTTGCATTCGATTACTGGACACTGCGTGAATCCTGTTGAATATAATCATTTCCTCTGTTAATGGCGCGCGCGCACAGTCTAATACTATCATCAATGAACTTTTCATAAATATTGAAAGCTTTTGCTATTTTCTACCTCTTTATGTATGTTGCCATCTTAAATAATAAGAATAGGTATAATATGTATCTAATTTGTGTACTGTACAATCCAAATGTTTCTTAAGTATTACAAATACAGATTGATGACCTCGATGAATGAGTACATCAGGAACTTCGCGTGCCGCTGAAAAGAACCAAAGTAAATTTAGCTTCTGTAGTAATAACAGTAATAATAACGCGTATTAAATAATTAATAATTTATTGCGAGTTAAGATTTTTACGTAAACGGAAAATGATTAATTGCTAATTGATTGTAGTTCCAATTCAGTTACACGCTCTGTAAAATCAAACACGTTAACTTTATTTGAATCTTTTTTTTGAAGGCACAGCATTTATATCGCCGGGAAACTATTTTCAAGTTAATAATGAGTTTTTAACAGATCCGTACCTGTTAAACTTATTTACGCCATCTAGGATCTTAACAGATTTTTTCACCTTAACTCATAATAGTATTCACTGTTAGTGCAGAACGTATCGATTTTAAGTCCCATGACTGCTCACCTCTAATTTTCATCTAACGGAGATTGCAAAATGAGATTTTGTATCTTTTAAAGATTAGTTTCATTGTGGTTAGCCGTACCTTTGTTCGCCGTATATCGATAATAATATCCATAATCTTAAGAGTTTTATCAAAATATTAAAATCTAGAGATTGATCTTTTGAATAATATTGATCGAATCGTTCGAGATAGCATCGGCTAAACCTTATACGACAATGTCTGTTGACAATTATTATGCTAGATTTGAAGTTATATTTTTGTCATTGCTGTGTTATTGTTCACAATTGTCCAACAGGATATAAGCTTATTCGGTATGGAAAAGTAAAGAGTACTGCTATAAATAAACCATATGGATAAAGCTGTAATAGGAAGTTTATGGAACAAGACAGAGAATATTAAATTTATTCGTTTCAATTGGAAATATAATTGGAGCCAGAATGTTGTTATTGCTTTTTATTACTGTACCGGTAATAATTCTGATAAAGGACAGATAAGTGTACAAAAACCCTGTTACCGTCCCAAATTGAAATAAATTTATAATAATGTTTAAAAAGATGTCGTGCGTATAAAAAAAATTATACAAGTCAAATTGAAACATTTTATTTTACACAACGTACAACTGCAATTGGAGTATAATCAACTAGCACGCAATCCTATTTCTTCTTAGATCGGCTGATTATTGATTTTCTACATCACTATATTTACTTGAATACGGACGTAGATACCGTTTTCCTTGAAGACCATCGACTTGCAATATAAAGTAAGATCTTCAATCACATCCAGAAGACAAAACCTACTGATAGGTGGCAGTATTTGATTTTAACGAACACGGATTGCTTATATTTCGGTAAAATGTCATTTGACGCACGGTACATCTGTGAAAATGCGAAACTCTCGTTATTTCCGGGCGTTATTAACCGATAATTTTCCGTTTAACGAGCATTCTACAAACTCATCGAAACGTGTGACATCGCGAAACAATGCGCGCAGCTTTGTAACAGGCAATAACGCCGTTTAAATTCCTCTTTTGAGAAGTAAATGAATTTCAATCAATCTTGGGAATTGCGAGTCTCGCGTTGTTTAGAGGCTGTGTATACATACAGATATCATGAATCATTGTCAGAGAGCAAATCCCGGCAGTGAATAAATTCATTAACCCTAAGATGGAAGCCAATCATCGATATATCTCAAGAAATCCCGGGTGGTGCGTATTGTATCTCGAAGGGCGGCGATGACG